ACAATCTCACAAAGGTTCCGCTGTACACCGACTCATCAGTGCTTTGGTTCCGTTGATTTCAGGTTGGGGAAACTACTTTAAGTTTTCGGAATGCTCTGCAATCTTTCACCGTATGGATTTCCGGATATTTCAACAACTTCGTGCATGGGTCTTTCGTAGACACCCTACCTGGGGTCGACAAAGAATCAAGCATAAGTACTTCCCTGAGAATCAAACTTGGCTTGGTTTTCACGGTAAGAAATACCGAGACAATTGGGTTTTGTATGACTCTTACATGTCGAAGGCCACGAAGTGGCAGCGGCGCCAGTTCAATCACATTCGATTGAGTTGGATCAAAAAGAGTTGCAAACACGAAGTACTTCATTTTTTGAGTTTTTTATTACCTCAAGGCGTACCTTTGCCACTAGCACCTTTTTTACTCCCTTGGATCCCGGAGTGGATGTGACCGAAAATGTACGGTATGGAGTTGACTCTTTACTAGGCCTTTGGATTCACAGTTACAAAAAAACCGTTCGGGTTTACTATGATCTTGGAGGTTTTCTGCGAAACATCGGAATCTGGATAATCGCATATAAATTATCACAAAAGGTGACTCCGGGCCCCGATCAAACAACTATTGACGGTACCTCGCTTGAAAAGCTTTTGAAGCTTCGAGACGCGATAGTCAAGGAGAATTTGAATGGGGAGCAACTCGTATTCCGCCGAAACCTGGGAAGAACGAAAAGCGTCCACTGGGAGTATCATGCTTCCAGGACAGGATCGTACAAGAAGTTCTTAGAATGATCTTAGAACCTATTTATGAACCCCGCTTTTCCACTTATTCACATGGCTTCAGACCGGGACGTAGTGCTCACACGGCCCTTAATGTTATAATGGGTACCTTTCATGGTGCGCAATGGTATATTGAAGGATCCCTGGAGGCCGAAGGCCCTGGAGCCGTAAATCATGGAACTCTGTATAAGATCATCCGGCGAACATAAAGCTATTGCTTTATTCGCCTTAATGATGGCTTTCTTAATTTTATGGGCGACCGCGACACTACCAAATGAATTGCTCCTTTGCACTGTTTGTTCTCTCAGGCGACATGCGCCCACACAATACTCAGAGATATGGCTTCCAGGTAAGTTCACTTCCACTGGCTATGGCGACTGAGCGCCCAACATCCCACTGTTCACACTCTCTGGATCACCCTGGATACCCCACATGCTTCACTCAGAACACTCACGTCACACACACACACACACACTCTACAGCTATGGCAGCGCTAGCTGCCACTACCCTATCGCTATGCTATGCTTCTCTGCCCACTTCGACTTCGGGCCCGCTGCAGACCTCCTCGCACAAGACGCTGAAGCAGCGCTTCCGCATGGCTTCCGCAGGAATGAATGAATGGCTGTGCGCAGCCTCTTGATTTATACTTCCGTGACTCGTTGGTCTGCCCTGTTTCCCTGGCCCATGGTGTACACAGTCCCAGACGGTACTTGCTTGACTGGACCGGACTAACTGGACTGGGACTGCTGACTCTGCGTGGTGGACTTCCACCACTTGCCCACTTGCCTAGACCTACAGTGGGCTGACTTCCGAAAGGCCACTTCTTGAAACCTCTATCTGGCCTTTCAGTACTGTAGCAGCTACGACTCTGCCCTTTCAGGTAAGTAGCAGCTACGACTTTGACCCTTCAGACAGTCTACAGCTACGACCTCTGGACTGTCTAGACTCCTACCCGACAAGTCTACAGTTCGAATCCCTTATACACTGTAGCCCACGAGATCCTACCTACCACTGGCGGTCCTACAGGTCGCAAGTTCAAATCTACGGGTTTACACAGGCACTGTACACAGGTAGGGTGGGGAACTAGGGATCGAGCCCTGGAATCTGCATCAGCTACTGCGAACTGGTGAATACCGTTTCAAATCGATCAATCAATCAAAAAAAAAAAAAAAAAAAAAAAAAAAGCAAAATCGAATCAATCAATCAATCAATCAATCAATCAATCAGCCAATCAATCAAGCGGGGGTGGGGCGACCCCGCCCCAACCAATCAATCAATCAATCAATCAAACAATCAATCAATAAGTAAACGGAAAAAGAAAAAAAAAAGTCCGCGTTTTTTTTGTTTTTGTTTTTTCCTATTGTCATCAGTCACAGCCAAACCCCCCCACCCAAAAAATTGTTTTTTTTTTGTTTTTTTTTTGTTTGAGGGAGTAGGGCTGGGGTTGCGCCACCCCATGGCGCTTCCCGAATCCCCAACCACCCTCCCCACTGGCCGCAATGCGGCCGCAAAGTTGCGTGGCCGCGCGGACGTGTCCGCCGGGTCGGCGGCCTGGCCGCGTCCGCAGATTCCGTCGCGCTTGGCCGCCGCCGAGGGTGTTTCGTAGATGGCGGACTTCTTCTATGGCGCACTTCGACTATGGCGCCCAACTTCAGCATGTCGCGGCAACGACGGCGCGCGAGATAGCGGGTACCAGCTCCGATACCAATGCACACAGACTCACTTTCTTGTCCACTCCGCACTCA